AAGGAAACATTCTTAGTGATATTCTGATGAAAGCTTTCAACATAACGGACAAATATCGAGAAGATACAAGACGGGAGATAGAAGTGGAAATAATCCTACGGATCCTGAGACATCAAGAACCGATACACAGTAGCAGATTGGCTGGTATTCTGAAAAAATTACAAAAGAATGGCCAGATTGCTTTTCAGGCGGATAAGGGCGGGGCGACGGAGAAAATGTAAAGTAGACTTGGCGGCCGGAACATTTATCAAATATTAAGGAAGGATCCAACCACAAAGATCAAGGGGACACTGAAGAATATGCTTAAGGAAATGCATAATAATGGGGAAATTGACAGATGGAGTATAAAAACTTTAATAAAAAATGACGCAAGGCCACCGACAGTCTACGGACTACCGAAGATAAATAAGGAAGGAAATCCGCTAAGACTTATAGTCAACAACAAGCATCGGCCTACGAATGTAGGAACATCAAAGACTCTGCAGGAACATGGATACGAAAACATCCGGAATAGTGAAACAAATTGCACTAACGGGGCACGAAATCGACTGGAAATCGACCAAAAGGTTGTCTGCATGTGGTGAAAATACGAGAAAACGCAAAATCCGAGAGGCCATTGAAATACTGACCGAGAAAAATCTAATGAACAGGAGACTTGAAAAAGGCAGGGTCAGCGAAAACTTTTCATATTGCCTAAACAAACTCGGAGAAGACCAGGAAACAGCAAGATCAGCAAAAAGAAGACGACTAGATCAAGGTTATATTCTTAATTTTAGGAAAATAGGCTTTTAGATAGAACTGGAAATAATCCTACGGATCCTGAAACATCATAAACCGATACACAGCAGCAGATTGGCTGGCATTCTGAAAAAAATACAAAAGAATGGTCAAATAGTTCTTAAGGCAGATAAGGGCGGGGCGAAGGTTGTAATTGACAAGAAACAATACACGGAGAAAATGGAAAGTAGCCTTGGCGACCGGAACATTTATCAGATATTAAGGAAGGATCCAACCACGAAGATCAACGGGATACTGAAGAATATGCTCAAGGTAATGCATAATAATGGGGAAATTGACAGATGGACTATGAAATCTTTAATTAAAAATGGCGCAAGGCCACCGACAGCCTACGGACTACCGAAAATACATAGGGAAGGAAATCTGCTAAGACTAATAGTCAACAACAAGCATGTAGCAACGCATAAACTAGCGAAATTCATTTGCTTGGAGCTCAAGAAAGTAAATGACAGACTCGAATACCGTTAAGAATTCATATGAATTTTCTCAAAGGATCCAGAACATTTGGTTGGTGGTGACGGAACTGTTAGTGAGCTTTGATGTACAATCCATGTACACAAACTTCTCAGGCGAGAAGGCGGTAAGCGCCTTGCTGGAGATATTGGAGTGAGAAGAGGACATTCTGGAAGCAGAACGGATCGGAAAGAATCGTGCCAACACACTTCTTTAGATTATAATTGTCCAAGAAAATAAGACCAGTAATCACTCTAATCTTATAAATACCGAGCGGAAATTTGTAATGATGGTCTAAGCCAGAAATAAGAGTTGGCCGCGCATAACCTAGTTTCAAGGCCCATATATGTTTATGATAAACTGGAGTCAAAGCAGGATGAGATAACCTTTTGGAACCAATGGCACGATCAGACCTATTCGCATTATCGTTGTAAGTACTTAAATCACCTATGGTGGCTAGGTTTTTAATAAAAATTCCCCATATCTCTCGAATATATAAAGAAGAGGAGATGACAAACGCAACAGCTGTTCGAAATGAAATTGGGCAAGAGGATTGACTTCATGTCACTTAGATGAATTGTAGCTCAGTGCCAGAGAAGGCACTGTTCACTGACGATTCTGAACACGATGTCGGCGAAGCGTCTGATAGTATATTCAGTCAATAGGCCTATGTTGAAAAAATCAATTACAATATTGACGGCACGTGTTAGTAACTCTAGTTCAATTTTTTTCGACAAAGTGGATTTAAGAGGGTTGTTAACATAACTAATGAAGTGAACCACATAAACTAAAAAAATGGCTGGAATATGTTTAGCCAAAGAAGTAAACTCATTACGATCGACATCACTGTTTATATTTGAATAAAGATTTCTGCAAAAGTACAGCTATGGAAAAATAAAGAAAAACATAAAATAATAAATATTTAGCGGAAATTTAGCAGTTTGTTAGTTTAAAGCGATTTTAACCATAATTAAATGATAACTTTTGGGTTTATTAAATCTATATGCATTTGAATAAAGTTCGTACTATGAAAAGTGAGTTAAAGAACTATGATTTCAAATATCAGAATACGCTTTATAATATCCTTAAACGATGCCCCTAGCAAACACTAGTGTAAATTGGATTTGGGCATGATCTTTTATAGATTAAGTAGTAAATATAAATCTGCGTTAGGCTATGATGAAGAGGATATAGCTAAGTAGTATAAAAGGCCTATAAGGAATATTCATGATTATGTTGTTAGGGGATCTGCGTGAAAATAAATCTGAAAAGATTTCTAACAAAGACACCTCTAAACTGCACTTATTTAAACTTTGGGTATATTGTAGAGAATACATGGTCCCAGAAATACAGCGCAGTAACCAAATTTAGCAAAATAATACATATGGGGGAATCTGATGTAAGCTAGATTACGTTTAATATAATTAGGGAGTATATGGTCCATTGAAATCAGAATTTTATAAACTGTCTACAGGAAACGTAAAAATTCATTCCTTATATGGCATGGTTATCCGAAGTGAAAATTAAGTATGGAGGAACAAGGATAGAATAGTGAAAAGAAGGTATGGACATATTCAAAGGACTAGTATGAGAGTTCTATCTAAGATTAAGTAAAATGGCTTTAAAGATGATGAAACAATGAAGGAAAGCAAATAATAAAAAGAATAAATTACCTATGATTTTAAAAGCAAGAAAATAAAGCCAGCCCACTTATTCTGACTGACCTTTCTTTATTTTAAGACCATAAATCTGCAAGGCATCAATCAATGAAGAAAGATTTTGAGATAAAATGGAATTAAATAACAATGAGCAAAAGCATTAATAATTAAAAACCGGAAGAAGTGTAAGTTCATTGATGAAGTGCATAAACTTATATGACGATTGAGGAACAGGACAGGAGCTGACAAATATGAAGCTGAACAATAAATGACCCGACGAGGCTGGACATTATAGTTTATGTCAAAGGAGGCAGATATAAAAGGTCTGCTGAGGCCTACCTGAGCTCTCTCGAGAGTACTGCCAATCTCAGAAAGGATTTGATCTTGCCAGTGGGGAGCTGCTGTGGCCAACTTATAGCATGTTGGTGACTCTGTAAGGAAGAGCAGGATGGTTTACTTCTAGATCCTAAAACTTCTTTCGGCATCTCGACGACCCCACCAATTTTGAGCTGATCATTTTCTTTCCTCGATTTCGCCGTACCACTTAAAAACATGGTAGTCTTGTGTGTCCTATAACCGCGAGGGAGCTTTTCCGTGTCAGACACTTGGGAAAGTGCGGGCTGAAGTCTCAGGTTCAGATTTTCACTAAAAGGTTTTACATTAGTAAATGCATTGACCTGCAATAACCGGTAATCCATGGATGCAGAACTTTGGGGAGTAACATCAGAAACGCCAGTATCATTAATAGAATCGGTATTCATACTAAGCAAATTATCATCAGTAGAACCAAGATCATAATTGTGTCCAAGGATTTGATCAGCACGTCGATGGTGGTCAGGAATATCTGAAAAGCTGATAGAGCGTCTGAGCTTTCCTGACAAAGAATCGCCGGAACGCATAGTAAGCAATCCAGGTGGTGAGATGTGAGTGGGCCTAGGGATTCGTTTCCGCGAAGTTTGTCGTGAATCACAGGCTCTACTGCCCGTTGTAACAGCCATGGATCCAGAGCTGCGCCGGGAGAGTAGAGAATCAGCGATTGGCTGAAGTAGATACACTAGCTTGGCTTTAGGGAGGCAGTAAGATGGAGTTGCAGCACAGATAAGTGCGAGTAAGCACGTACATCTGACGAAAAGACGGAGACCCTATAAAGCGCAAAATTGATTCGAAATGATGGTAAATCAATGCTGTAAAAAAATGTCAAAAGCATTGGTTCGACCTCGTCTTCGCAACTTGGTCGGAGCATCAGAGAGACCTTGTGGAACGTACCTGGTCCGAAAATTTTTAAACGTCAATCATTTAATCAGAGGATATCAAAGAGTTGTTTACGAAACATCAGGGTACTCAAAAGAGCGGAATATAGACGTGGAGTAAATAGTGCTAAATTGGATTATAGATTGGGAAATCAAATACAGAACCAGCTGGCATAAGAAAATACCAAACTTTTCAAGACAAAGTGCACTTATAGGCAATGAATGGATAAATATACCATCAGTAGATCATTTATAAGAGCAAAAGTCAGAATAGACGGAAGGACTGCTAGTTAAGCTCCCGACAATGAAATGTGAAGGTCTTAGGATTCCATATAATTCTAACTAGCCTTGTCTACAATTTTGACCTTCTGGGCTTCAATGGCACCTGCATTGGGTGTAGAAGCCGTGACGTGAGCGCTAACGGCAACGTAAACACCTCTTCAGTCAGACTAGAAGACAATAGATCAGACTTCCCATAAAACACATCTACTCTGATAAAATATAGATTTATTGTTATGCTTATATTTGATGACATTAGCATGGAAGCTGAGAGTAGATTGCGAATTTATCCAACGATTTTTTGAAGAATTAGGATGAGTCCTACTTATTTCAATGTGTGAAAATCAACTATTAGGCCTTTATTCGCCTTGCCTAACCTAAGATGAATAGTTCAAATAAGTTTGCGAAATTTCAAAACTTACTTATTATAAATTTTGTACTGCCACAGAACGCAAAGTTAGATACGAATTTACTTTATCAAAAGCTGGCTTAGGTTAACTTGGCAGCTACGTATATTCCGTAAAAAGCCGTCATTGAGGACTATGTAGATATTTGTAACAGCCACCTAACGCAAAAGATCCGGTTTCGAATCTATTTGTAGATGCTGATGAGACCTAACCTCTAGTTCTGTCTGGATGAAAAATCCTAAGTGAAATTCAGTAGCATCGTGAGGCCTTGTAATAATTATCATCAGATTATCTTTCACTTTAGCAAATATATTAACTTAATTTTTATGATGCTTTTACGCTAATCGAGTACACACTCGGCAATCCAAATTGAAAATATCTGAATTTCAATATGGAGGGGCACATAAACTGCAAATATGTGAAAAGAGCTGACAGAAATCTGGTTATATTTATAATAAGGCGGCCTTAAACTATAAATAGATCTTGAATAAAAGTTATAGCCATAAAAAATATATACCACTACCCGTATGTAATCCCCAAAGAGATGTTGATAAGACTCAACCGAGGTCGAGAATGCAGTTAATCCTTGATGAGAATACTTTTTATAGAGTAAGAATAAGTGAAATTCACTGGTATCACGGAGACTACTTTTATAATTATGGAGAGATTCACCTATCAATTATTAATCTCTTTATGATACAGTGCAGCTACAACTTAGAAATCTAGTTATTTGAAAAACCTAGCTTCAATTTCATGATTATTCTGAAATAAAAGTAAATTAATTGACGATAATTAATGAAGTAAATGCTCTCACAGGTGTGCCTGGTCGGGAACGCCAAGTCCGTGAGATTAATCCGAGAAGAGCGTCAACTAAGCTGATTCCATGGCCGGAGTATCTGAATAAAAGAGTATCGGCGAATGAACGTTTTGCCCAAGCGATCTGCCCGCTAACTTTGGTATGATTCTTCGATTGTAATGAGTACTTAGGAAGAGTCTTCTGCCAACCTGAGGTTTTGTAGGCGGTTAGAGAAGGAAGATCGATCTCAGAATCGTCATGACTATGCCCAACGAATGAACCTGTGAGGAAAACGAAGCGTGAGAGTGATGAATATGGATAATTAGGAAACATATATGGAACTAAAGATATTATTTCATATGCCCATTTCGTTACGCTTTTCCGGTTCCCTTTGAAATAAATTTCCTTCATAAATTTCTTAGGCCCTAGCAGATACTTCCAATTTATTCTTGACATTGGTCAGTTAATGTTTCGATGATTTACTTGTAAAAATGCATAGATTCAATTGTTCAAAATTTACCTTTAGATATAAAATTATGATAAACTTGCATGCTATGATTTAGATAGGCCCAAAAAGAGTTAAGATAATCGACATGAAATTGCTCAGCAATCAAGTAAACTCGCTTTGATAAATCAAATGGTAAACATAGTAAGCGAATCATGCTTAAAAGAAAAATATGCAAATGTGAATATGCCCATGAGTGCATGATAATATGCAATCATATGTATTTTTGTGTGCAATCTGCACAAAATAAATAGGTCTATAAGAATATACATGTTCAAATGAATAGAGCAAAAGAATTTTCACTTGTGCATGAATAAAATGGATTAAAGATTAAATGATTCAATAACGCACGAAATATCTCGTTGCCGCTAGAGTTTGCTTTGTTCACTCTTGTTGTAGAATCACTGCTTAAGCTCCGCAGATGCCGTCTAATGGGAGAAGAACTACAATCTGCTGAAGCATCGAGAGCCAACATGCTTTTTTGGCAAAAATCTTCATTCTTCTCTGTTGAAGATAAATTAGTATCAATAAAGTCCATTTGATGTTTGAATCTTCCTATTATATCGCCTCGCTCTTTAAGTGTCATGCAACGGTGATCATCAAACCTACTCGTAAAACTCAGGCACTTGCTACCAGGTCGCTCGCCCTTTACGTCTTTTACACTCTTTATTCGTGAGATGCCCGAAAATGTAACCTGGCCTCTTGCTACTGACAGAGATGGCATAGTCGGCATCATGATGGAGGATGGAATTAATGTTTTATCCGGACTCGGGAGAATTGGAGCAATGAAGTTAGCTGAAGACGAATATCGCGCCTGAGAGCTAACCACCTTATCCATTGTGGAGAATAAATTTTTTTGGGAAGTCAAACCCTCCTCAAGCTTGGGAGAAATTGGATGTGTGGTGTGTTCGGGCATTGGTGCTCCCGCGCTAGAATGAGCTGTCATTGAAAGTTGTTGTAGACAATTTCTAGTGCCAGAGTTATGGTATATCGGGGTCCACCAGACAGCAACATTGGCAGCTAGAGGAGGATGCATAGCGAGGTTGGCCAAACAGCCGATTGCCAAGAGAAGAATGTCCTCATGAGCGATAGACCGGTTGCAGGTGATTATAAGATCGAGAAGTAGGAGGGAGAGATCCGGTTGGGCAGCTGAGTATAAAATTGGGCTTGTGTGAAAATATCTAGAATACCTTGATGTTTCAGACCTGGTTGAAAATATCTTGTGAGCGTCCAGACTGGTATGACAATTAGGAGTAGGAGATAAAATTGTGTCTAATCGAGACCAATGTAATGGGGAATAAGAGACGCGGTCCAGGTGCCGAGGAAATAAGGCAGGCAATTTGAGGCCCAATGATCGATAGCAGATCTCACCAGAAAGACGAGTTGTAATTTCTGTGGAATAAATGTAGTTAACAATATTCAAATATCTTAAACATTTATGAAGTAAAAAGGTATGATAGAGATCCAAAGCTAATGTCCACAGAATTTCGTCGAAAGCTTAGTATCCTAAACAAAGATGCATAAACTGTGAGATATATTTTCCCTATTTCGTTAAGGTAATGAAGGACTGATAGTTGAATTAAATTTTACATAGCCTAGATTCTCATAAGGTATTATTGTCCAAAGTATATTGCAGTTTTTACCTAACCCAGGTCGCATTAGCAACTCCAATAGGACTCTAACCGTAATAGCACAATATACAGTCTTGAGACGTTAACTACTACACCACCTTAATAAAATAGGGTGAATGCATCTCGCAGATACTCTACTGGTAGATTCAAAAACCTACTTATAAATGAAAAATAAATAATGTAGTCGATTGCTAGAGCAAATACAACTTTGCTTCATCAACAATCCCACAACAGTTTGTGTTATAGTAAAATAACGAGCCTTCCTTAAAATTCAAATGTGCTTCGTGACCCAAGAGAACTAGTGGCAATGAGGCGTAGTGGTTAACATGGCTAGATTAGATCTTGAACTATCACGGTCCGAATCCCGTAGTGATGCTTATAGGAACTAGGTGAGGTGGAAACTGCGTTCCATCCACCCTTAAATGCCTTTAGGGAAGCAAAGGTATATGAAATTCAACTACCAGTCTTTCATTACCTTAACGAAATAGAATGAATCTCCTACATATGATCTACTGATAGACTAGAAAAACGAACTATAAACTAAATTTAAGATAGAGATTGTTTAACCTTGTTTTCGTAACTTGCTCATATTAGTAGGAAGACTTAGAGGAACGCACCTAGTCCAGACTCCATTGTATGCATGATCATTTCCAAAATCTGACCGTGGACGTGGTAAATTCCAGACGTTTCGCCGGCATCATCAGTGAGTCTCACCAGTCTTAGCACAACACAACAACTCGTTAAAGACACAAGTAAAGCGGATCCTTTAACCAAACGTGTGCTAAACAGTTGTGGTATCTCCTCTTATACCCTGGGCTATTCACATTTTATATATTCTCCGATCACACCGTCACTGTTACAATTTTTACCGTGCATATTTAGATGTAGTTATGTGTGCCCTTTTAAGTGGCATTCATGGAAACCCTCCACACTCCACGCTGGCATTCTCACTCCCCATTCATCCTTGTGCAGGGAATGTTGATCTAAGTCTGTCATAGTGTTACAAAGTCCTTCTTCCATAGGTCTTATTAAAGTCTCTTTTTTGACCGTAAGATCCTTCTGCTATATCCCTGGTTCACGTATTTCACTTAACCCCTGCCACCCCATCTGTGCTATTCGAGGCGTTAATCGCCCTCCCCTGCATCTGGGTGACTAAGTCAAGGCTGCTTGCTTTGATTAGGTTCAATATTGAACCACAACGTTTGTGGGTTGGCACACAAGAGACTAAGGCATAACAAGTCATAGACTTGGTATTAGGGATAGAGATAGGATAGACGCGGCGGAGACTGGAGCTAGTTGAATGACAATAGGTCTGTTGTACAATAGACGTGGTCCATGTTGCAAAGGCTTAACGATGAGCCTTACTCAGAGGCTTGAGCATCGAATTACTCATCCAGATGCAGGGGAGGGCGAATAACGCCTCGAATAGCACAGATGGGGTGGCAAGGGTCGAGTGAAATACGTGAACCGGGGATATATCAGAAGGATCTTACGGGGCAAAAGAGACTGATAAGACCTAGGAAAGGACTTTGTAACAATATGGCAGACTCTGATCAACACTCCCTGCACAAGGATGAAAGGGGTTAGAACGACAGTGTGGAGTGTAAAGGATTTTCATGAATGCCGCTCAAAGGAGCACAACACACTACATTGAAATAAGCACGGTAGAAATTGTAACAGTGAAGGCGTGATAGGAGGATATAGGAAATGTGAATAGCCCAGGGCAGGAGAGATACCACAACTGTTTAGTAGCACACGTTTGGTCAAAGGATCGGCTTCAATATCTTTGACAATTTGTTGTTGCTAAGAATGGCGAGACTCACTGACGATGCCGGCGAAACGTCTGGAAATGTACCACGTCCACGGTCCGACTTTGGAAATGATCATGCATACAATGAACTCATGACTTGGTGCGTTCCTCTAAGTCTTCCTACAAATATGACCAAGTTGCGAAAAAAAGATCAAACAACCTCTATACAAGGAAAGGAGACTGCGACCACACAAAAGACCCCACCATCTTGGTCTTCATACCTTTAATTCAAGATAGCTGGGCGTATTATTTCGAGCAATGTATAGGAACGTCATATGGCTAAAATTGTTCAGCCAAAGATGAACATGTAAGTGTAGTGAGACAGCAATTGAAGCTCATTAGACCATTTGAGTCATATTGCTAAGTTTTATTTTCTGAAGCATTAATTCCTTATCGAATTATAATAAAAACTGATTGTATCACTTCTGTCTTACAATTTCTTTTTCCTTGCCTAAATTTATGCAAGTAAGATGGGATATAAAATTATGCCATAGCTTTAAGGGTTTATTCAGTTTTTATTATAGTCTTGTTAACAAGTTTTATTGGTTCTTCATTGTTTATCGATCTTGTCTAATTAGGCGACCTAGTCTTACCGACTTTAAGTCGTTTATGACTTCAAAATCGTATCAATAATGACAATATTGCTATAACTAATAGGGGTACAACGAAGTATTGGCACTGTCCGCAACTGTATTATTTGTAGTGAGACATCCAAAGCAAAAATGTTAAATTCGGTGTATTTAGAATCTAGTCGTTACATACATAATCGTGAAGACACAGATGGCAATATTATCCAACAAATAAAAAATGAGCTTAAAGTAACTGCCTTGATCTTTGATGAAATTTGATTAAAACGACTATATTTCGCAGTAGTTTAGTTCCTCGCATTATTCCTTACAAACTGAATCAGAATGTTATAAGGTCATAAAGTTGGTTTTTGAACAATGGGAAATATCTTTTACACTAGTATAAGTAGTAAGGATGAAAAGCTGTTAGTAAAAAGTCAAGACATTTAAAAACTACTAAACTTACCGAGTTGCTTAAGAGCATTGAGGACTTGAACAACTGTATGAAAACGCGCAAGTGAGATAGTAGCCTGTTGTGCCTTAGCAGCCAGACATATTTGGGTTGGGCATGGTCCTGAAGCCGAAATCTGTAGGATGCGAAGGTTAAGTTGCATAAGCCGACGTGCCATAATAACAGCCTCTGACTTCGACTTGCTAGCTAATCCGGGAATGATATTTAATATTTTTGACTCATGTCCAACCCAATTTACAGGTGGTGGGGGTGGAATAAAAGATTTATTGTTAGGTTTATAAAGAGGCTCTGTGCGTGGTGTCAATACGGCTGGAGTAGTATAACCTGATGACGAAGAATTCCAGCAATATTTCTAGTTTGAATAAATAAAGCATGATAAGTTTGAAAATTTATGCATAGGGAAAACATGTAAACATAATAAAGTAGTCAATAGTTATTCAGTGAAGTAATAAAATCGATAGTTAAAAAATTTAGCTTATAGTAAATTTAAGATTGCTCACATGTTTTGAGTAATTACTAAGGACCTAAATGTTAAATATTCCTTTCTAAGCTAATATGTACTCTAACGGAGAATATAATACAATTATGCATTTAAACTCTTACTACGGCGTGTTTGATCTAAGTGGACCTCTAGCTTGATAGACATTTCAGCTCTTTCTTCAGTGACGTAAAAGAGTCTTAATTTAGTGTCAGAGATAGCACTAATGCTAAATTAGGTGTCCACTAAACGTTTAATAATAAAATAAGACTATAAAAGGCGACATAAGCAGTAGGAGTTACTCTCGGCGAAGGCTCTATAAACATGGTCAAGTTGCATCTTACAATAAGTATAATCATTTAAAGTATGTCATGAAATATGCTATTTATTTTAAAAGGTGAATTCTATTGAATAAAATATGTATCTACAGTGCAGTATAAATGCCTAACAATAGTAAATATGGATGTTATTTGACCTTGTTGTCGCAATTTGGTCAATAGTGGTATGAAGACTTAAAGGAACGCACCTAGCCCGGAGTCGATTGTATGCATGATCATTTCCAAAGTCAGAACATGTATGTGGTACATTCCAGGACGCTTCGCCGGCATCGTCAGTGAGCTGTGTCGTTGTTAGCACGATACTACAACTCGTCAAAGAGACAAGTCAAGCCGATCCTTTGCCCAAACGTGTGCTAAACAGTTATGCTATCTCTCCTTATGTCCTGGGCTATTCACATTTCCTTTATCCTCATATCACGCCTTCACTGTTACAAATTTTACTGTGCAAGTTTAGATGTAGCGTGGTGTGCCCTTTTGAGCGGCTTTCATGAAAACCCTCCACACTCTGGCGTTCTCACTCCCCTTCATCTTTGTGCTGGGAATGTTGATCAAAGTCTGCCATATTGTTACGCAGTACTCCTTACATATTATCAGAGTCTCCCCTCTTGCCCGTAGGATCCGTCTGTTATCTCCCTGGTTCAAGTATTTCACTTGACCCCTGCCACCTCATCTGTGCTACTTGAGGCGTTATTACTCCTGCCTTGCAGCTGGGTGACTAATTCGAGGCTCAAGCCTCTGAATAAGGCTCATCGTCAATCCTTTGCAACATGGACCACCTCTATGGTACAATAGACTTATTGCCAGTCAACAAGCTCCAGTCTCCGCCGCGTCAATCCTGCTTCTATCCCCAATATTAAGTCTATGACTTCCTATGCCCTAGTATCTTGTGTGCCAACCAACAAACGTTGTGGTTCAACATTGAACCTAATCAAAGGAAGTAGTACCACAACATTTGTGGGCTGGCAGACAAGAGACTAGAACATAGGAAGTCATAGACTTGGTATTATGAATAAAAACAAGATAGACGCGGCGGAGACTGGAGCAAGTTGCTGACAGTAGACCTGTTTTACCATAGACGTGGTCCATGAAGCAAAGGTTTGACCATGAAGATTACTCGGAGTCTTTAGCCTAATGTTAGTATAGCAGACACAAATTGTGGGAAATAATGTCTCGTGAAGCACCTATGAGATGGCAGGGGTCGAGTGAAATACTCAAACCATGGCGATAGCAAAAGGATCCTAGAGGGCAAGAGGGAGACACTGATAAGACCTATGGAAGGAGGACTGCGTAACAATATAGCAGTCTGATCAACAATCCCAGCACAAGGGTGAAGTAGGGTGAGAACCCCATTGTGGAGTGTGGGGGGTTCTCATGAAAGCCACTCAAAATGGCAAGCAACACTAGATTTAAATGAACAAGGAAAAAATTTTGATACTGAAGGCGTGATACTAGGATTTAGAAGAGATGAATAGCCCAGGACAAGAAAGAGTCCACAACTCTTTAGCACATATTTAGTCAAAGGATCGGCTTCCCTTGTCTCTTTGACGAGTTGTATTATGGTGCAAAGAATGACAAGACTCACTGACGAAGCCGGCGAAACGTCTGGAAATATATCAGGTCCATACGGGGCAAGAGAGACTGCGGTAGGACCTAGGGAAGGAGGACGGCGTAACAATATGGCAGACTCTGATCCACATTCCCAGCACATGGATGAAGGGCGGTGAGAAGGCCAGCGTTGAGTGCGGAGGGTTCTCATTAAAGCCGCTCAAAAGGGCACACCGTACCACATGTAATTAAGCAAGTAAAAGTTGTGACAGTGAAGGCGTGATTGGAGGATATAGGAAATTTGAATAGGCCAGGGCAGAAGGGGAGATACCACAAATGTTTAGCACACTTGTCTCTTTGACAAGTTATTGTGGTGATAAGAATGGCAATGCTGATGATGCCGACTACGATACCCGCGAAACGTCTGGCAACGTCTGGACCACGTCCACGATACTACTCTGGAAATGATCATGCATACAATGAACTCCGGACTAGGTGCGTTCCTCTAAGTTTTCCTATAAATTTGGCCAAGTTGCGAAAACAAGGTCAAACAACTTTTATTCAACGAAAGGAGACTGCGACCATACAAAAGGTCACACCATGATAGTCTTCATATCTTCGAATAGTGAATATGGATAATTGAATTTCTTCCATCCCTCAGGTGAAGTATAAAAGTATAAATAAAAGTTTGAGCAAAGATAATTTCCATCATCAGGACCAGAGAATAAGAAGGATAAAAGAAAGAATCATATTAAATTAAACTGGGTTGATAAGTATAATAAATGGGAATATATTTTATTATCGACTGAAAATATGCTAGTTTCCATCTACATCTGAATTCCCATCTCCTTAGTTCGGCCCTATTCTGCTCTTTTTACTCAAGATCTAATTCATTAAAAACTTGGAAAGCACAAAATGAGGTTAGGGCCATTTAGCCAAGGGGCTAACGTGGTCCGATCAAGTACTGATGTTGAACGATGATGAACGGCCTATAATGGATAAGGACGACTTTATGAGCACTTGGCAAAAATCAGGCAATTTTTTAAAATTTATCGATAAAGGATTCGCAACCATCGCCACAATAAACTAAGAAAATATAAAAGATTGATAACAATCTATCTCTTGATTGCCTATAAACAAAATAATGCATAAAATGAGTCTTAACATGTCTCAAATACTTATTCGTGATGAAAGACTGGTAGTCGAATTTTCCCAAAATCATATAAGTAGGCTTTACATTTTCATTGAATTTTACAAAGTATTGCCTCAAAAGGAATTCTGATTTAGGGTGGATTGCAATTTCGACCTTACTAAGGTCTCATCAACACCCCTGCAAAAAAACCGTGATAGTGCAAAATAAAAGTAAGACACGTTACCCACTACGCCCCTCTACCAGTAGTGGCCTTGGGTCACAGAGAAACTATTAAGTTCAAGGGAGGCCAGACATTTTACTAGACTACATTCTGCGGTAGAATAGTAGATGAATTAAAGGTGTATTTGCTATAGAAATCGATCATGTTACTTAATTGTATGATCATAATTAGGTTTTTCAAGACTAACAATAGATCTAATAAAAGAGCATTATTCACCCTATTTCGTTTAGGATGATGCTGGATTGATAGTACTAGTATCAACAAACCTAATAATGAAATGAAAAATAAGTAATATAGTCAAATGCCATAGCAAGTACGACTTTGTCTAATCG